TTTGTCTTGTTTTTGTCATTTGTAGACGATCAGTAACTTCATGTTAACAGGAGCTCAGTGTGTGACGTTGACCTTGTCTTCTGTGTGTTGTGGTGTCAGACCAGCGTCTGGACCAGCAGGGCCTGAAGAACCACAGCAAGGTGATGGTGCTGAAGGTGAGCGACGCTGAGTGGAAGCAGCACCTGACGGAGGAGGAGGAGAAGAAGAAGAACCAGAACGAGAGCATCCAGAGAACCCAGAAGGGCTTCCAGATCCTGTCTGAGAGAGGTGCTGCTTCATGCTTTAGGTCCTCACCGCTCTCAGCCCTCTGAAGCCCAAACAGGTTGTGGCCGTCTCATGTTCCTCACTGAGGTTCATGTTTGTCTGCAGCATAAAGTCCTGCAGCTCTGAGGAACCAGAACATGGAGCAGGAGACAGAACTCAGAGAGGTCTTCTGTCTGGATGATCGCGTTAGAACAACACAAACCACAAGAACAGGAGAAACGTGTTTCATGTTCTATCCTGTTATGTTTAGTCGTCATGTCCAACATGTTTCCAGGTGGCCTCAAGTCTTACTGGACAATAAACGGAGGCTCCACCTGCCGTAGATGTTTAATCTGCTTCACTGAAAGACTCACAGCTGAGCCAGAACCAGAACCAGAACCAGGAGCAAAGTTTATGTTTGTGGTGAATTTTTAAATGAGGAAAACAAACTAAAGAGATTTTGATGAAATGTCTGAATTCCAGGGTTGGATTTGGCTAATGTTTAGTTTTTATTTTGAAATGTTCCTCGTGAAGTCGCTCATGGTTCCTTCAGAGCAGACTTTCAGTTCAGGGCGTTGACATGCATCCACAGACACCCAGTGGGAGCGAACGGCGTCTGTGTCGTACTGGTCGACGCTACACGTGGTGACACATGGATGGTCTGTCGGATGTTTCAGTCCTCCGGCGCCGATCCAACACATTCATGTGGAGCAGCGACATGTTCTTCACTGTCCACGCTCCAAATGTAGAAACTCAGAAGGAAACACTCCTTCAGCGTGTGAACAAACGTCTCAGAACCTGACCTTGTTTTGTTTATCTTGACCTGTCTGGTAGAACCTGCTGTGCTGATGCACGGTGTCTGTGTTTGTCGTCAGACGGCAGCGAGGATCCCGACACCACGCCTTTCCTGGAGATCGGCGACCAGAAGGGAAACCCGCTGAACATCCCTCACAAGGAGAAGAAGGTGGAGTGAGCTGTGAAAGCTGCATTTGTGTGGTCCAGACTTTGGGTTTGTGGGCCACATCATGACAACAAACCAGGCGCTCACAGAGGAGTGAAGATGTGTTGTGATGTGTGTGCAGGCTCTGATCCTGGCCATGGGCTTCCATGAGAAGGGCCGCTCTCTGATGAAGAAGAAGCAGTACGACAACGCTCTGTGCCACCTGCTGCAGGCCGACCAGCAGTTCAGGTACCAGTGGCTTATCTCGTCACTTACTGTCCGTAGCAGGGAGGACGTTCCACCATCATCTGGGACGTCCATCCAGAACAAAGCTCCAGAACCAGACGGAGACGGTTCAGAAGCAGCCTGGGTCTGACTGTTTTCAGGTTTTCTTCAGTGTCACAGCAATCCAGACCAGCAGGAGACAGTTCTGCTCATTAGTAATCATCTCCAGATAACGGCTCCACGTTGGTCTCCTGGGTGTTTCCATGGAGAAGGACCTTCCAGAGTGAAGCTACCAGGTGCTTTAAAGACGTGAGGCGCTAACGGAGGGTTGTGTGTCTGTGTGCAGCCAGTGCGGCTCGACCCTGCTGGGCTCGGTGGACAACTTCGCCGTCCTGCAGCTGGACATCGTGTGGTGCTACCGAGCGCTGGAGGCCTTGTCCTGCCTGGACGACGGCAAGAGCCGGCTGCAGAGAGCCGAGGCCTGTTTCCTGCAGTGCTATGGAGAGCAGCAGCAGAGGCTGCTCCGCATCAAGGTAGCACACCGCTACACACAGCTACACACACT